CTCTTCGCAATACACTCGGACTGCTTAGGACGCGCGCGCTTGTCCGCGTGCCTCTTATAGAGATAATCCGCTCTACGGTAATTTACTAGTTATGGCAACTAGAATCATTCTAAGGATGAAATTATCCCCGTAGCTACATGAGCGCAAAACGGAATTATAGCTACGATCCTCATTGCAACGACCGATCTTCTGATTTAGCAATTGGTCGGCTTCTCTGTCTTCCTCACCCCTGCCTATCCATTTCTCTTTTATTCTCTTCTCTATCCTACATATTACAGCATGCGAATACAATTTCATGTTTGTAACTAAGATTCTAAATCTATGCACGTGTAAAACGTGTATTCACAATCTTCTTATATTTGCGGTCGATTGGAGAAAGTCTGTAATGTTTAGTTCAGGAATTGTTCGAATCCATTGTTAATCAATTTTTTTTTATTTATTTTAATAATATTCGCTTTTATCGATCATATTATAGAGACTCACGAGAAATTCGCACACGTCGTTTCTCATGCGCGCGTTGAAATCACCGGAGTGCCCCTTAAAATAAGACATTATCGCTTCTTAGTGGAATTTCAATATATTGCAATAAATCTTATCTATCTGCAATTAATATACATTCAGTAATTGATTTAGATGATATGATATTATAATTCATTTTTTGTTTTATTACATATCTGAATATGTTAAAAACTTCGTCTGTTCAATTAAATTATTATTTAATATAAAAAAATATTTTTTTTTGTACATCTTGAATGAATATCAACCATTAAATATTCAAAAAATCATTTTTCTTCTTCGTATTTTATTTTTTCTTCCTATTTTCGCAGATAATTAAATTTATTAATTTTATTAGAGTTTATATCAAAATTCATTATATGATAATATATTCGAATTATACAATACATGAGGCAAGCGGAAGTCGTTTCTGTCTACGCACACGCGTCTTCCCTATAAAGGCAAACAGATGTGAGGGAAGATACGAAGGAATTAAGGATCGATAAGGAAACACGAGAGAACGGAAGAACGTGATATAGAGGCGAGAGGAAGCCGCGGATGCGGAAGCGGCGGAACGAGGAGAACGAGCGAGGCGAGCGAGCGCGAACGAGCGTGCACGTGGTGGCACGTGGAGAGGCGTGGTTCGTGGGAGGGCCCTGTACACCAGACCGCTGTAATCCACTTGGCACACGCTGTTCTGCTAAGCCCTACTCTTTTCTCTCGGCCGTTCGCTACCCTACTCTACCTCTCTATCTCCGCGCGTTCACCCCTGCCTATGGCGCTGTCGCGCGTGTAGTCGCCACCGTTACCGTGTTCTTCCATGTTTACATGCATTGTGCATCTCTTGTACTTTGATCCGTTATGCCTTCCGTTCCGGCGCAAGAATCGAGAGAAGAAAATATTTGGAATTTTAAATTTGAAGCAAAAGATCCCATGGGATTCTTATTGTTTATATTTTTAGAATAATTTGACTAAATGAATGACTTATAAAAGCTACAGCATATTTAATTTACTTTTACCAACATTGAAGAATTAATACAATAATAATATTAATAATAATTAATCTCATATATTTTTTTATGCTTTTATAAAATTATTAATGTAATAATTTAAAACGCTCTGCAATAACACTATTAATATATAATATTTTCTAGTTTTTTTAAAGTAATTATAATTATTTACATTACACTCGTATTTAGTGCATCTTATAAAATGTACTTGTTTATTTCTATCGTATTCCTTGTAGATAAGATTGCGAGCAATTGCACACATTCAGCCTTTATGCTATCTTAAAAAAGGGATTTTATGATATCTCTTCGCGCGGATTGTTAAGTGCCATTTTCGCATGTAAAAATAATCGCGGATAAGGTATACAACGATGTTCAATTAAAATGTAACTGTAATATACTACGTTACGGGTTGACGTTCTCTTGGTATCGGCTAATTTATTGCGTGGCGATAACGACATTGTATTTTATAGCAGCAAAAACATAAGTGTTTTTATTTCTTCGAAGCACGCGATTATCACAAGCTTGGCGTTAGTCTGGCTAATTGCATCAGGTCGAGTTTTACGATGCAATTAGTAATCCAGAATTCCTGACATCCTGATGTCAGACATGATCGATCGAATTACTTTATTTTCCATTAAAAAAGTTTATTAAACTTCATTTTCCATTAAGAAGGTTTATTAGATACAGACTAGAATTTATGATATTCTCATTTTTCTTACAGATAATAGACTCTCTTTCGATGGATTTAATTAACTCACTAAATATAAATACATATAGGTACTTATACAACATGTTTTTCTATATTAAATTAAAAATTTAATGATACGAAAATAATTACTGTAATAATTTATCTAGAAAAATGTGTTTTATAATTGATTTGTATTATTGTATTATTACAGTGTTGCTCAATTAATCTAATCGTTGGGTTAATTAAGCAACAAGAGAATTTTATACATTATATACATTATATTAGAATTATATACATTATATTTTGCATTAGGTAGCTATAGATAACTATATGAAAAAACTATATTACATTATAACATGTTTATATTTTCTACACTATGTGTTAGCAAATGTATTTAAAGCGAGCGATTCTTTATATACCATTACTTGCATAATTCCTATAATTTCCATGATTTATTTTCAATAATTTACATTTCTCCGTTGATAATCACATATTTTCATCTCACGCGAGTTCCGATAATTAACGGGAATTATCAAGTCTAATACAGTTGATGCTTCATAAGAAAACGCGAAGGAAGGCTTTATCAATTTCGCTGGTTGTTTTACGATGGCTCTGCGGAGATAACAATGATGAACTCGATCTCTCCTCTTGCGCGCGTTCAATTTGCCGTAACAGCCGGTCCATTGTACCTAATCGTCACTTCTTCCACGCGTACAACATACCCCTTGCAGATTTGATCGGCGTCATGGTGAAATCGCTTATAATCGATGCTTCGCGATCGCGATGGGTGGTCTCTGGCGTGGCGCGATTGTGAAATTAAATCGAACGCGACTTCGATATCCATGACTATCGATGGTGGTATCTCGATGCGCCGGGACGCCTTGCGTCATCCGGCTGTCGTATCGGATTACTTGCATAAACCCTTCCTGGTTGATTCGATAAATCATCGACACGTTCTTGTTGATTCTATTCTTGTTTCTTCCAATCAAATAAATGGTTTAAGATATGAGAATCGTTCTAAAACGCTCTGATTAAATAACATTGTGAATCTTCTTAAATCAAATGTGTCACTTGTTATAAAAATTTTTATTTTATTATCTTACTAAATATATTTTCAACATTAAAAATTGAACTCCAAGAATTATGTCATTTTATAATTAAAGAATTTAATTCTCTTATACGTTTTCATATTCTTCAAAAGTGTAAATTTAAATATAATACGGAATGTCTAAGAGAAATACAATGAAATTTCTAATTTCTTCATTATTAACGATTTTTTAATTATAGAAAAAACTGCAGTCTTAGTATCGGTGTTTTGTCGCAAAAGCGTGATCGTTGATACGAGACTGTCTATCACTTGGCCGTCAGGGGATAATATCGCGTAATAATAATCGGGAAGGGAGGTGGAGTGCGTGGTTGTTTGTATAGAACGGGGTTGTAGTATTTTAAATGCCAATGATTTCATGTCTCCCCTGGGTGTTTGAAACCACCCTATATAGGATGTCCCGGAGACGTCCAAGTGCTCAGTCGACGACGAGGATTCACTGATTCACAAGATCTACCACGAATCTCTTGATTGTGCTGAATGTAGTGATTTGAAAGTGATTTCGGAAATTTCTTATTAATGATTGCTATTAGAGTTGCTTTGATTAGTAAAATAATTATTATTAAAATTTTTAAAAATTAACGAAAGTAACAAAAATTAATCGATGCAATAATATAATTTTCTAAGTCGCAAATCTCTGCAGATATGATCGCCATGGATGCTGGACATTCTCAGTGTGACAGATATTGTACGCAGAGAGAAATATTATAGTACTCAAATATTTCATTTTTTTTTTAATTTATATCGAAATTTGAAGTGGATTTTGATGCTTTAAAAAATTATATATTTGTAGTATCTATATAATCATTACCTATTTTTGTTAGGTATGCTATATATAATATAAATAAGCATTTAAGAAGAGATTCTAAAATATAAAATTGAATATTTTGCGAATTGTGTTCCATCTTGCAAAAGATAATTTTTTTCTTTTATAAAATGATATTATAAAATGAAAATATATATATTTAAGAAATGTATATTTCATAATATTTGAAATTGATTTCAAAGTATGTGGAGATTTAAATCAGTGACCGAGTTGTACTTAATGCGCTGCTCTTGTAGCGCGCACCGGAAGTGCAACACGCCACCTAGAATGCTAAACATCAATATTAACCGCGCGTTCTTGCGATAGAAAAAGTGTTCCACTGTGTTCTCCCAGCATATCATTTAAAATTGACATATCAGAAAGTTTTTCCTTAGAAAGGAGGTTATGATCCATTTTTGCCTCTTTGCGCATAATGAATAACGTTAGTTTTTACTCCATATTTGCTAACATTTAACGATAGACTGCGCATTATTTATCAATCAGTGTTCGAAGTCTCTTATTGGAGAAACGTTATATATTTCACATCTTACATCTCCTATATATTTAGACGAAATATTGAATAAATGATAAACATTAATAATCATTATTAGTGTAAAATTGGATTTTTAATAAAATTATATTTTATACTAATACTAAATAAAATGACATCCTTCAATAATATCGTTCCCAAAATTTCTTCTTAATTCCCTCTCAAAATATCTCCTACTTTTATGTCTATTCTTATTTTTCTTGTTCCAATATTTACTCTTTAAATTCTTTGGAATGAAATTTCATTTTTCAGAGTGAGATTCACTCTAGAAGTTTTAAAAAATAGTTTAAATAATATTACCCAATATAACAATATAATAATCGAGTGTACTCACTTGGGTGTTGCAGGGCAACTGCATTCGCCGAACGGCGATAGCGACAACAGCAACGGTAGCCAGCGTGCGGTGGCTGTTACTCGTAGCGAGGTAGAACAACAGCAGCAGCAGCAACAACAGCAGCAACAGCAGCAGCAGCAGCAACAACAGCAGCAGCAGCAGCAACTACATCGCCCACGACAACAGCAACGTCAAGCGACTGCTACCGTTCCGGTTCTCGCTTGCACTAATCAATCGTCCATCACCACGACTACGACCGCCCTCACAGTGGCATCAAGCATGCTACTTTTGCAGACACAGGTGAGTTCCATTTCTCTGCTTCGTGTGATGCACTTTATCTTTAGCTCTCAAATTAAATTCGAATTGAATTCAATCGGAAATTCATTAAATTTCGATTGAAGAAAGTAAGGAAAATTAAGGTAAAAAGATTATTTTAGCGATAATAAAATTAGTGGTAAAGTAAAACTTGATTATACATTCAATCGACATTTTGAAATATCGTTTGTGCTGTGAATCTTGTTGGTTGTAGCTTCGTCGACTGAACGGATCGGTTAAGTCTTCGCTTGCATGTCTACATGATGCAACATAAGTTGTAATTTTACGTAATAATATTCGTCTGTGTAAACGCTCATATCTCATCTCATCTCTCATAAATAATTCCAAGAAGGTCTTATGAGAAATGGATATATAATATTCTTTAAAGAAAGTAAATCCAGAAATAACATGCTCCATGCAAGATCGAGCAATCTCCAGTCAGTTAAAAGATTTAATTTTTATTATTATAACATGTACTTTTCTAATTGAATTTGTACAATTATATAACTTTTGACATATTAAATAATACAAAATATATAGATATGATGTTAATGAAATTTATTATTTTCTAAGAAACAAGAAATTGTCTAAAAAAAATTGTCTGGAAATTGCCTTAAAAAATCAAGCTTTAACATTTCATAGCTTCGAAATTTTTGAGTCTCTTCCCCTTCTTTGCAACATTCTACACTTAACGGTAGATCACTCCCTTCTTATATCATTTATTATTATTTGATTCTCCTTATCATAGCAAACACGCAAAGTAGCGTTATCTACCAACCGTAGTATATTATCATTGAAATATTGCTACCCATTTTTTCCCCATCGATAAGCTCGCCTTTACGCGACCAGTTCGAAATTATAGAATCGTAATCTGGTCGACTTCTCAGACTTTCGGATTACATAGTCCCGCTTGGTTCGGTAACAAAACTCTCCCGCGTCATCTGCACGTATTACGCATAATCTGCATTCCGTGAATGCCGTCGTACCTGTTTCTCTTTTCTTTTTACTTTTCTCTGATACTTCCACTCAGTTTCGACTCCTTTTTCGCGGTGGACGAAATGATGTTGCAATCAACCGCCAAAACGAGAATGTGCCGCAGAATTAGCGGAACAATATTGAAGAGGTTGTCTCGGCAGTTTAGCAAGAGAAAATAGAGACTAGAGGAGGAGGGATTTTAGAATGCCGTTTAGCAGGCCATTTATTCACGGTCTGGAAGGACGAGGCTTCGATCGTCAGTCCTCGGGGGAGCGATGAGCGAAATGTCAGTTCGAAGCGGAACCGGCACTTGCAAATTGAATATCCACCCTCTTCCACCATCCCCATCTTATGATGCTATTCTTCATTCTCTGCTGTAGGATGTCCTGCTGCTACAATATTTTCATAATTTTTATTTTCGGATTTTAGAATAGATATTGTTTTTAAACTCTGATTACAATTTGTTAATGAAGACATGGATTTCTTTCTATTATATTTTGAATGTTTTCCATTTGATGACACACAGGTGAACACAAATGTCGTTCTATCTTTGTCTTTCTGAATGGAAGAAAAATAGAATGATGTGTGTCGACTTGTGTCACTAAAGCACGCTATGTCATCAAAATAATTGTTATTATTTTGAACATTGACAAAATAACGTGGCATTGATATATTTGCGAATATCATAAAATTTTTATACGAAATATTTTTTTTATCTTTCAAAATTAAATTGAAAATTCTGAATAAACATTTTTCACAAAATTATTTGATTATAGTTATTGAAAAAAAAATTGTTATAACTTTAAACGTGGATAAAATAACGTGCCATTTGCACATTTGTAAATAAAAATGATATTTGAATATCGAAATTGGAAATTTGGAATAAATATTTTTTAATGAACTGTTTGAGTATACTTATTCATATTTTTTTGTTATAATTATAATTGAGAACATTAGTTTTACGAAATATAGCGAATTTATTTCGAAAGGAAAGCACTATTGTATGATTGCATAAATTATTTTAAATAATAAATCTCCATTATTAATTTTAAAATTGCTTGCAGTTGAATATGTTACGACTAATTGAGTAATTCATTAAAATATTTCAGTATACATAATTTCTTTTCGACTCGAAGTATATCAATATGAATGGTCGTTTATTATTATCCTATTGCTGCGCGAATATTTAATCGCCAGTTGATATAGTGTTTTACCGCTCATCGACTATCGACTATTAATGATTGAAGCGGGTAGGGGAAAGAAAGAGGAGCAGAGAAAGAAAGAGAGAGAAGCTGTAAGCCTCTATTGAGTGCTGCCTTATAGACAACACGCGATACGAGCTTCGCTTGTCCAATCCTCTTTCGAACATCCTCACTGCGCACCTCGATTATACGTCGATGTCTCGACGCTGCGGCTCGCAATTGTGGTCGAACAATGTTTCCGCCTTGCAGTTGAGGGCTTCGATTTGCCGCTCACACGGCTCTCCAGAGACCGTGACGACTCCGCCAAAAGAAAACAGTTTAAAACGGCGTTTAAAGTTAATAGTCGATTCTTGTTTATTCGGTATGTAATTAGAAAACAAAAGATTTGCAAGGTTCATGTCGGTATGGTGTTCAAATTGGCTCACATCATTCATGCAACGCAGGTATTTTTTATTTGTGTCTTTTTCTATTTTATTCATTTTTCTAATTTTCTATTTATTTATGATAGAGTTTATATTATTATATATTATTGTTTATATTATTTAGATTATTATATATTGTTGTT